TTTTAAAAAAACCGGTTTTTTTAAAAAACCGGTTTTAAAAAAACCGATTTTAATATTCCAGATTGCTCATAGGGAACCGATTCCCCCCAAGGGGGTACCGATTCCTCACTGAATGGTTTGGCTCCGAGATTTCCAGAATGCTCGGAGGGAACCGATTCTCCCATAGGGGGTACCGATTCCCCCCTATTCAACGGTCGAAATATTTGAATTTTACACTTAGAGAACCGATTCCCTATGAGAGGAAACCGATTCCCTATGAGAGGAAACCGATTCCCTATGAGAGGGTACCGATTCCCCCACGCTCCAAGCATTTTTATTAAATGTTTTCACACTTAAACGGCTATATTATCTTCATTAATTATCACTAACGTTTAGAAGTGATTCAAGGTGTATTTAAGCAAGCTTAGAAGCCATTGATCAAAGACAAGAAACATCAAGCAACTAGAATCAAGAGAGAATCAAAGAGAAAGCATCAAACCTCAAGTTCGATAAATTCAAATACTTAATTGAAATACTTAATTAACTCAACATAATTGAAATACTTAAATACTTCCAAGTTTGATAAATTCAAATACTTAAAAACTTCCAAGTTCGATAAATTCAAATACTTAAAAAATTCAAGTTCGATAATTGAAACAAAGTTTACGATAATTGAAATAAAGTTATAAAATAAACTACATTGCCATCTCTTCTTCATCATCTTCGCCTTCTTCGTTTGGAGGGGATATTCCAAGTTCGACTTCTTCAATGTGTAAGTTTGCTTCCAAATCGGCATCAATTGCATCTTCTAGGGTGGTGATATGTTGCTTACGAGCCGCTCCATCCAAATAATCCTTTAAACAAATGCATACTTCCACCGACTCGGGACTTAGTCTTGATCTCCGTTACGATATAACCCTGCCACTAACAGAAAAAGCGGATTCCGAAGCTACCGTAGAAGCTTGGACGGTTAGTAAATCACGGGCCATGGCGGCTAGAATCGGAAATTGTGCTTCCTTTTCTTTCCACCAAGCCAAAATATCCAAACTTTCAAACTCTTCAAATGTCATTTTTGATAGAAAATCGCATGACATGTAATTTCCCAACTCGCTACTTGGGGTGGTAGTACGTGATCGTTTGGATTGGGAATTTACAAGAGTGTTAAAAAGATTCAAATTTATGTTACTTGGACGTCTACTAGATGATTCCGCATTCATTCTCATTTGATCGTGTATTACACTACTTGATCCGTATTTAGTTAAATAAATTGCAAACATGTCTCGAAAACATTTGTTAAAATAATTTATTTGGTTTTGGACAAAGTTGGGTTCATCATCGGTTAGATTAAAAGCAAACACAATTTGTTCAATTAGTGTTTCAACCCCACCAACATTTAACGTTGGGTTTAAAGCGGCGGCACAAGTAAAAATGGGGGGAATCTCCTTAAAATATTTTAAAAGTTTTTCCTTCATTGCAAAGCCAATTTCTTGAAAAACTTCGGTTTCAAATTCAAAGTCATTTAGTCGGGTAGCCAACAAAAATATTTGATTAAGAACCAACGGGCTAGTAGGGTAATAAACACCGGATAAAAAAGTTGTTGCATTTTTAAAAACCTCAAGCAAATCGGTTATTTTGGCTATAGTTTCCCAACTCGAATCCGGATAAATGTTTGGGACATGACCCCTCTCGAAAAGCCGATCGTGAAATGTTTGCAATGTTTCCCTTTGCCTTAAGGCAGTATGCATCATCATCCAAGTTGAGTTCCAACGAGTTGGACAATCCAAATTAGGACCCAAAGCTTTTTTATTAACGGACTTACAAAATCGTTTATAATCATTTAGTCTTTTGTTGTTGTTACAAAGAACCGATTTTATCATTGTTTTAAATTCTAATCTAATCGGCTCAATAACCTCCAAACCGGCTTGCACGGATAAATTAATTATGTGTGCAACGCAACGGGTATGGAAAAACGCACCGTCTAAAATCGGTGAAAGTAATATTTTCAATCTTGGAACTGTGTTTGTATTATTCGATGCATTATCAAAGGATATAGAAAAAACTTTATTTTCTAATTTATAAAGACAAATTACCCTTTTTAAAAGTGTAAATAAATTAGCACCGGTATGCGGCTCACCGAATAATTCAAACGCGATTGTTCTTTTCATCATTTGCCAATTATCTTGATCTAACCAATGTGACGTAACGGCTAAAAAAGAATTTTCGGTATTATGAGGGGAACTCCAAACGTCACATGTAAGCGACACACCATAACAGTGTTCTTGGAATCCTAAAATCATTTTTTCCCTCGCCGTACGCCACATTTTTATATCATCTCTTCTAAGGGTAGTACGAATTACTTGAGTATAACGTGGTTGCATTAGTTGTTGAATTGTTGTCATGAAATCTTCATCATCAAAGTGGTCGAACGGCAATGCTTTTGTAATCACGAACTTTGTAAACGCTTCTCGTAATTTTTCGTTGTCGTAAACAAAAACACCACCTTGCGGTGTAAGATTCGATTGACTAGGATCCGATCTTGAGCGAAGTGTCTTGCATGATTTTGTCAAATGGTTCTTCAACGTTGTGTTTCCTTCCGATGTAAGAAACTTTAGACAAAGTTTACAACGCGCCCTCCTCGAGCCATTTGACATCTCACATAAATCGTAGTGATCCCAAATGTCTTTGTTTCGAGTGTGTTCGATCACTCTCACGACTTCAAGGTTTCCCCCGACGGAAGATTCAGCCGTGTTACTCATGATGAACAAAAAATTACAAAATAAGATTTGAGAGATGTTTAAGTGTTGTGTAATAAGATTTGAGAAATTTGTAATCAACCAAATACATCCCCAACCTATTTATACATGTTTAGGGTGGTAAAATGGTAATTTTTTAAAGAAAAAAACGGTCAAAAACGGTCACAAAATCCCCCCCAACGGCTATATTAACGGCTAGTTTTTTAAACTCAGACCGGTTTTTTTTTTTCCGGATAAAAACCGGTTTTTTAATCGATTTTTTTCAAACCGGTTTTTTATCCGGTAAAAAAATCGGTCGAGGTTTTTTTCTCCAAACCGGTTAAAATAACCGGTTTAAAAAAATCCGATCCGGTTAAAAAAAATCGGTTTTTCCCAAATCCGGTTTCGGATATTTTTTTCGCAAAATCGGATATTCGGATTTTTTGTGTACCCCTAGCCCAGGGCAACATGTTTGAGGGGCATCAATTTATAAGCACTTATAGTGTATATATATATTTGATCCAAAAAAAATTAGCCCAAAGCCCTGTGAAGCAAGTTGCCAGCGCCGCACACCAGCTCAAGCCAAGCCTGTCGTCATCACTAAATTTGCAAGCAGTAACCCAAATCATCAAAATTCAATATCTACCAAAGCATCCCCAAAGTTAAGAAAGAAAATACAACCTAAATCCCTAAATTTTTGGGATTTCAATTCACCAAATAACGAAGAAAAATCAACAAGAGGACAAGCATGATTCGATGGAAAAAATAGAAAAGGGGAATCATTTCGAGCACAAAAAAGGGGGAAGAAAGAGGATTTGAAAAAACCATTCGGACCATTAGCAAGCGAAATACACAAAAAGGGAGTGAGCAAAGGCAACCATTCGATTAAAAATCCTCATCCTATTCGAAACACTAGTAACAGAGAGGGGAGGGTTTATTTTTTCTTTGAAAGGAAAACAATTGTAATATTAGGGGGCTTCTTTTCGAATGAAAAACGTTTGGTAACAATAAAAAACGCAGTTGTATTTGCGAGAATTCAACAATAAAAATAAAAGATCATTTACAAAAGTATGGATTTTCCTTAAACAATAAAAATAAAAGATCATTTACAAAGGTATGGATTTTCCTTAAATAATACCATGCAACCATTTTCTGTTTTTTATTGTTTTCGAATCAAAATAAAAAAGTAAAATAGTGTTAGATGTTTACCGAGGTTATTTCAGTCATTGGAGTCCAAGACCGAAGCTTTGGATTTCTTTCAAGAGGCTGGCGTGAGTTAAAGCCCTTAAGGCGTGAGTTGAAGCCCTTAAGGCGTTCGATCGGGGAAGACGAAGTGAGTGGAGAGAAGGGAGAGGGGCGAGTTTAATTTAGGTTTAGTATATTTAGTTGCAGCGTCTGTAGGAAGCTATGGGGCTTATTTGGCCGATGATTCTGGTTACAGATGCGTCAATCATCCATGCAAATGTTATCAAGTAGTGTCTAATACAAAACCAATTTTGTTGCTTTTAGGCTGTCTTCCCCAATCTCTTCTCTTTTTGTGTAAATGAAAATCATTATATTTAGTACATATTTACATGTCTCCATTTTTTTACTGTTATATTTAGGTTTAGTATATTTAGGTTTTATAATAATTTTTTGGGTAAATTAAATTTGTCACTGAAGTCGAAAGGTAAATTAGTATTGATATTGTTTGATTATAATTTCTATTACATTTTTGTTTAAAAAAATGATTTATATTTTATCTATTATACGGTACAAGTATAAGAATATAAAATTATTATTTCGCCTATAACATTAAAATTGATTGGACCGCCCTGATTGAACAACTGCCAACCCTCGTGAAATTGTAACCGTTCCTTCCGCTTTGCAGCAAAGGAACATCCTTTTTCACAGTTAAGTCGACACTGGCCCTTCAGTCTTCATTCATCACCAGATCTCCATAGCCACAGACCTCTCTGTCTTCTCCTATCCTCTCCTCCATTTTTTCCATTGGAGGAACACAGAGAGAAGAAGAGAAGAGAGAATCCAAATTACCCTTTTGTTCATTCTCCTCTTCTTTCTTCTATTCCTCTGAATTCTCTTCCTTTAAGTTCATGATATCAGTGTTTTTCAACGAGAGAGTCCGTTGCTTTGTTTGAACTTTGAAGCTAAACACTAAAATGTCTGAACAAAGTTCACCGGTTGTTGGCAAAAAAGATGTGGTTTTTATCGGTTCGGGTATAAAGATCGAATGTTGTTTTCCAAATAAAATGGTTTCTTTCAAACCACAAGGGTGTTTTGCAAGTGTGAATGAAGCTGGGATTGGGTTTGTTATCTCACCAAGCCCTCCAATTGAGCACTGCGAAGCTTCACTATGCAAGTTTCCATGCACGATTCGTTCCACATCTGGTGTTGGATGATGAATTTGAAGTTGCCGAGAGGTTAGTGGAAGAAAGGAAGGAGAGAGAGAGGAAGAAGAAGAAGAAGAAGGGTGGGTTTAAGTTGAGGATTAAGATTGAGAACGAGTTACTAAGGCGGCTACTGAGTGGTGCTGTTGCCGGTGCGGTTTCAAGGACCGCAGTGGCCCCATTGGAGACCATAAAGACTCATTTGATGGTGGGGAATTCTGCGAATTCTATGGCCCAAGTGTTTGATAAGATCACCATGGCAGAGGGTTGGAAAGGCCAGTTTAGAGGCAATTTTGTCAATGTCATTCGTGTGGCTCCGAGCAAGGCGATTGAGGTCTTTGGTTTAGCCACTTTCATTTCTTATGCTTAAGGACTCTGTTAAATTGTTCACCATGGCAGTGAATTGCTTCTGTTGTCTTTGTATGAACTCTTAGCTTGAATCGAATCGTTTTCGCAGTTGTTCGAATACGAGACGGTAAAAAAAAAAAGTTGACACCTGAACACAGGGAACAGCCCAAACTCCCTCTTCCCGCGTCGTTCATCGCCGGTGCGGCTGCCGGAGTTAGCTCGATGTTGTTGACATACCCTCTGGAGATGCTCAAAACTCGTTTAACCGTCAATGTAAGCATGAACTTTGGGTGAAGAAAGAGCTAATGAGCAGGGTTTTAATAGTGTTTGCGGTCATATTTCGGTCGCATCGTTTTTATCACGATTGCGGATATAACAGATATCATTACGATCATTATGGATATCACGGTCATGATTTTTTTTAATATCGTACAACTTACCCTAAAATGACTAAATTAAATATAATTAAAATAAAATTATAAAATTTAAATTGTATAAATTTAAATTACTGAAATTAAGACTAAATTAAATAAAAATTAAATTTTACATTTAAACTAAGGATTAAATTATAAATTCAAAAAATGAGAGGATCTCAAATTAAAATATCCTTTAAAATTATATTTTAAAAATTATTAAAAATAAATAAATCTCCTTTTTCCCAACCTTTCTCCCTCCTCTCCCCCGATTTTTCTAGTTCTATCAAGGGTTGTTGTCGGCTTCGAACATTAACGCAAACAAAAATCATTGACACTGTTCACTTCTTCTTTTCTTTTCTTCAGTTTTTTGGATCTGTTTTGTTTTTTTTTTTATTTCCAAGCTTAATTTTCATTTTTTGAGATTCTCCAGATTGAACAAAGAGCAAGTAGTCAAAGGTAAGTTTTTCCCTCTCCCCTCCTCCCATTCCTCCTCCTTCCTCCTTCTCCATCATTGTCTGAAACAAAAATAGTTCTGGCCTTCTGCCTCTCCCTTTCTCCTTCCCCATCATTGTCTGAAAAAAAATACGTCACGGTTGAATAACGGTTGTTGCATTCTGTTATCAGCGTAATCGTCTAATTCTCATTAAATTGCAGGTGCAATCGACCGAAATTAATATGAATCCGTGACCCACTATAAAAATCGGTTTCGAACGGTCGCTATCACATTTTCGGAACGCTATTTGATAACCCGCTAATGAGCTTAATTTCATGTGATGTAAGCTTTGTTCTGATTTCAGGAAGATTACAACAAACTACTCGACGCCATCGTAAAAACCGTTCGAGCGGAAGGGCCTGGAGGACTCTACAGAGGCCTTACTCCGAGTCTGATCGGAGTGGTTCCTTATGCTGCCTCTAATTATTTCGCTTATGATACATTAAGAAACGCTTACAAGAGAGCTTTTAAGAAAGAGGAGATTGGGAATGTTATGACACTTTTAATAGGATCAGCAGCCGGTGCGATCTCGAGTACCGCAACTTTCCCGCTCGAGGCGGCTCGGAAGCAGAGATGCAGGCTGGCGCTATTAACGGAAGGCATTGCCGCAACATGATCGATGCTTTGACGAGCATAGTCAAGAAAGAGGGAATCACAGGGCTTTATAGAGGCTTGGGTCCAAGCTGGCATGAAATTGGTCCCTGCAGCTGGGATTTCATTCATGTGCTATGAGGCATGCAAGAGGATATTATCAGAGGAGAGCGAAGAAACTCCATTATCGATATGCTCGAAAAGCCGGATTCCTTCGAGCAAGGGGTCTGTACTTATAGATTTTTAGCACCTTGTGCAATTATTTCTATAATTGCCCCCGAAGTAGAGCTTGTCGCCGAGCTCGGTTTCCAACGTCTTCTAGCGTTGCATTAGTTTCTTAACCCAGTTCACTTCATTCCATTTTAGTTTTTTTTTTTTAATTAATCACAGGAATTTGATCTATTGATCAACTAATTTAGATTGAGTATTGCAAAGACGATGGCAACCCTCCCAACCCATTTCACTCTATTCGCAAAGAGTTCGAACTTCTAATCTTACTTAAAGTATATATTGCCTCATTCTACTAGACCAATTAGTTGTTAATACATTTTAGGTTCTTTTAATATTATTTTTTTGCATCAAATACCCTTCGGGGGTTTAGGTTACTCAATTATTAATTTGATTATAAATAGATTTTATTTCCTAAACATTACAATTTAATTATTTAATTAAAATAATATAATAAATGAATTATTTTATAGTTAAAATTGGAATGAACATCTATTTTATCTAGTATAATAATTGTTTTAATCCTTAAAACTTATATATTATATTATTTTGGTTCTATTTCAAAATAATTTAGTAGATTTAATCATTTGTATTTAAATTTTTTATCATTTAATCGGTTTTTATTATTAAAATATAGCAACAAATTATTGTAAAATATTTTTCTACTAGAAAAATAATAAGAAAGTAATTTAACAACTTGAGAATAATAACACGCAATTTAAGAGAATAAAGATTAAACAGATAAAATTTTTAAGTATAAAGAATTAAAATTATTAAATTGGAATTAAGTTGAGAAAATATATAAATTTTATAAATTAAATTATTATTATATCATATCACATTATTATTTTAATCTAATATTTAACAATTAATTATTCGTATATAACAATATTTTAATTTGTTGATTAACCTTTAATTTTTAGAAAATGTCTCGTTTATTATTATTATTATTATTATTATTATTACTTGAAATAGTCTATGATGATTAAGATAATATCTGTTTAAATTTATTTTAATTATTGACAATACACAATCTAAAATACAACAACTTAAACTCATGATTTTTAAAGAAAATAATAATTCTTTTAACCTCCGAGATTATTTGACATGTCCATGTTTTGTTTATAATTAAACTAATGATAAAATGGTTTGAGGTATATTTTATCCTTTATTTTTCAACATTCACACTGCAGATGCATGTACATCCTAAGGTAGACACGTGTCCATCTTAAAATAAGAATTTATTTATATTAGTTGTTTATTTTATTGAAGGTGTCTGTCGGAACCGTCTTTCGGTTGGGCCCCTGAATTGGGCTTCGACTTGGATTAAATGCCTTAAGAGTCGCCACCGATCATTTTAAAAAAATATTTAGGCTGATCGGACACCATCTTACCTTATCCACGTATTACCGAAAATGTGTCGGGTTCAAGAGTCGGTTACAGTCAAGGAAGGATTAGCACCCTTGAACTGCCCTTTCGGTACCAATTAATTTATCGGTCGTCTTTAATTGCGAAAATTTAAATTTAAATTTAAATTTAAAATATTCGATTCGAATTAACTTACCTTGGATTGGTTGGGAATTTCTCTAAAAAGGGATCGAAAATGTTAGTCAATGAATAATAAATGTTAAATAAATCAAAGAAAAATGTAGAGATAATAATAAAAAAATAATCATTAAATCAAAAAAATAAATAGAAAAATAGAGAGAAAAAAATAAAAATAAACCGATGAAATAAAATAAAATAAAATAAAATAAATAAGATAAATGAATAATAATAATAATGCTAAAAAATAAAAAATAAAAATATATAGTAATAATAAAAGGGACTAAATTGAAATAAAATCAAATTTGAGGGTCAATTTCATTGTAAATCGAAGAAAGAAAGAATTTCAGGGGCAAAATAAAATGTATAAAACATAAGGGGGACCAAACTCATAATTATTCCAAAAAATGTGGGACACGCGTGTGAGATTACAAGATGGGGATGACTAAACTTGACATTACCCCACTTTGGCTTGAAAACACGAGAATAAGGGAGCCAAAACGACGTAGTTTTGATTCTTATATTTAAGCTCCCATAACACCCCCAAATTCCTCATTCTTCTTTATTCTCCACTTTCCCCCTCTCTCTCCTATAACAGTTGTATCTGCAAAAAGAAGTTTTTCCAAATTGAAAGGCTTAATAGGTTAGCATTGATAGCAACTGAGAGTAATATTTTGGAGAAAATTGACTATGAAGATTTGGTTGACGATTTTGCTTGAGTGTTTGGAGGATGCTATTTTTTAAATAAAATATCACGATTATAGAGTTATTTTGTGATATTATCTTAGTTTCATGTTTAATTTTTTTTATTTTATAAGAAACAATAGTAATATGATAAATTCTTATATTTTATAATTTCGTTTTATTATGAAATATTTTAGACCTCATTTTAAAAAATAATACATGGCCTCCACATCTTTTTGGGATGGCTTAGTTACTGTAAGATTATGTCACACCATCATTAAAAAAAATCATATCAGTAATTTTGTTAATTTTTTAACTACAAGATATTAAATTAAAATTAAAATTAAACATTAAGTATGGTTAAAAGAAGTTTAGGTACTAGAACTAAATTAAAAAATATAATTTAAGTGTTATATGTGTAGTTTACCCTATTAACTATCGTATTTTAGGGAAGAAGTTACTATTATACCTTTGAGGTAACAAAAGGCAAAAGCTCCTTCGGGGATTTCCTTGTTAGATATGTTCCCAAACACATGTTACAACTGGACACGTGTGATCCCATGGCATGCGACAAGGATTTTAATGGTTGGATATTGTCAATAAAGACCTCTTTTCTTTTTACTTTTTTTTTTAATCTGGGTTCCAAACAAAAATGTATTTTCATTTAGAGTCTTTTATTTTATTTTTGAGGGAATAATTAGTTTTATAATTTGGGAAAAAAACACGTGTAAGTATCATATAATGGAGAAACACGTAAAATTCGTATTATTTTATTAATCTTATCTTGTCTTTGGTTTTGGATTTTTGAGATTCATCGATGATGACAACATGACTAAAGCGACTGCTTCCTACACAAACTTTCAATAGCCGATGGATTCACTTTAGTGAATTGCCAAAACTGTCCAGCTTCCCTATCGAATTGCTCAAATTTGGATGATTTTAGAGGGGGCTTGTCCTATCGAGGTGATCAAATGTAAAACTTTTTTTTTTGGTAAATTGCATCTTATATATTCAAAGTGTTTTAATATCGAAATGATTATCGACGGATAAATAAACATGATCAAAAAATAAAAAAATATCAAATTTTATGTGGAAAACTCAAAAAGAAAAAATCAATAGCAATTGAGAAGAATTCCATTAATATAAAAGAAGAAAAAATACAGGAGAATATTAGAGAAAGAAAAGCATGATATCTAACCATTGACTCTTATTATCTATTTATTTAAATAAATACTTGATTACAAAAGAAAAATAAATAAAGTAGAAATATACTTTAATAAAGTTATCTACTTTACATCAAACTATGATTATTACTTTCTTAAATTAAATATTAATTAATTCGTGTTACTTTTAATTCAAATTAAACTCTAACAAATATCTACCTTGACGTGGATTTAAAAAGTGTGAAGGTTTCGGGACAAAACACTCGAATTTAATGAGGCACTAGAACTCAACATAAAATAACTTTTCACTTCAACAAACAAGTTCTCTATCTCTTCCATAACACCCCTAAAAGGGGTTATCTTTAGTAACCCACATCGATCAAATCCAAGTTTTTTCTAAAATTTCATTAATCGGATTTTTTTCTCTATAACGTTAACTAATCAAACTTTTTTCAAAAATAATTAATCGAATAGAATAAATTTTAGTTAATTAATCAGTTACTCGAATTAACCAAAATTTATAAATATATATATATATATATATATATGTTATATATTAAACATTTTATATTTTTGATTAATTCGGTTAAAATCGAAGTTTAAACACTCTTAAGACTAAGTAATATATAAATAATATATATATATATATATATATATATATATATATATATTAATATTTAATAATTTTGATTAATTCGATTAACCAAATAATTTCAAATCGAATTAACTGATAATCGAAGTTTAAAACAATCAATAATTGTTAACCGACGATTCTAAAATTAATCGACTGATTAAACAAAAAAACTTTGATTTGATCAATTAAATCGATTTTAACCGAAGTTTAAACACCCCTAATCATACATACAGAGATTCATCTAATATCCACATCAGTCTAGCCAACTAACTCTCTAATGAAAAAGATTTTCCGTAGACTCCAACCCAAGGACATAGTGAATTCCATGGTTCGAAGATGTATAAATATTTTTGTTAAAATATGTATCTAAAGTAAATCATATTTTTTATCTGGATATCTAAAGTATTTTTAATTAATAACACGTGTCAATTTTTAGGAATTTAGATGAAAAATATGATATATTTTAGTTACTTATTTTAACAAAAAAGACTTCATATATCTAGATGAAAAATATGACAATGTTAGGTGTTTACTTTTATAAAATAATAATTTATGTACTTAGGTGGAAAATTAAATACTTTAAGTACCTATTATTAAATTAAGCCAATTACAATTATAGGAGGACCATACTCGTCTTTTCCCTTGAATTCCATCATTTTCCAAAATTTCAAAAATTATTCCCACTTTACCCTATATTAAAATATCCTTCCCCGAAAGTCTCGTCGCTTTCGAGTTCTGTCCAAACTTGTTTGATATATGCTCTAAGCATTGCACGCCAATGGGAGCAACCGACAACATCTGGACCGCCATGGAACCAAACCGAGCCAAGCAAAGCGTCAACGGCGTTTCAACCATCGACGATTGAATCCCTCACTCTAATCTCTCGGTTGATGCCGCTCTTTCTTTTCCCCTCATGGTCCCTCGCGTCATGTTCGTCTTTCTTTTCTCTTCTTTGTTTCTTGTTTTTTTTTTTCTCTCTCGTTTCGACCGCTTAGCTTGTTATAGGCTTTGATTCTCATTTGAAAACATCGGATCTTCGATATTTGCTTCGTTATGTTTAAGTTAATTACCAGCAGCTCAAACGCCCCGGAAATTCCATTTTTTCTTTTTTACATTTTTCTCGGTTTATACGTCTTTGCAGCGCGTTGTGTAAGGATCTGTTTCCGAAATGGGCGAATTATAACGAGTCCTGCTTCTCCTTCGAAACTGTATCAGGCGGCATCACGAATCTTCGTGAGCACTTTGCTTTTTGATGTTTGTTATATTGTTTTATGGAAACTTTTGCTCTCTCTGGATTAGCGAGCTAAGTTGATTTGTAGTACTCATATTTATTGGATCGGATTTTCATACTTAATTTACAGTTCTTGCGTTTTAAATTGGAAAAAAAGGAAAAAAGAATGGTCCGTTTTCCGATCTGCAAAACCAGAGTTTGGTTGCCTTTTGTGTTTATTTTTTACATTTATAGTTTCTTGTTCGGTTTGCTGTTTTTTGATCCATTTTGTGGCTGATGATTCACTAATCATGAACAATTTAATGCAGAGCTAAAGGTTCTGTGAAGGAAGAAAATAAAGAAAATATGCCTGTAACAGTTGATTATATGGACCTAACACAGATTATGTCATCAACCGGGAACGTGAGTTGACAGTATTTTCCGATGCTTTTTGTTACTTATTATTTGTATAAAATTTTCCTTTTAGAGCATTGCAATTTTAGTTCATGGATTTTGGTAGGTATAATATAAAGTGCTAAAACATTGCTTAAAAATTTACGCGAAACTTGTCAGTGTTGTGTTTCCTAGCTCTAAACTCTGAATCTTCTCTGGAAGTGTTTTGGTGAACTAAGGTGTCAATGACTTCATGGATATGTAGTCTGTTCTAGCAAAGGAATTGTTTATTTGTGAGTTTTTTTGATATATCTTGCTTGCATGCATTTAGTAGGGTGGGCCACCAGGGATATGCTAACAATTTCAGGTACAATGGGAATTCAAAAGATGGTTGTACGTCTTTTGGTGTTCTTCGAACTAAATTATTGCTAGTTATGATGGTTCATCCAGCCTCTTTTTTTTTTTGGTGCCATCGATGCCTTTCTGTTTGATGACCTTTTCATTTCATTCTAAATTTGGTGCCAAATTGCTTGGGATATTTGGAAATGGGATGGTTCAATCTTTTATAAATGCACGTACCTTAACTCCATCAGGTAAGCATGAGAGGTCTACTATGGGAGTAGGCATTGCACATGAAGTTGTGTTCTTTAGACATCGGTTATTGGGGAGGGTTTATGCCTGTAAGCATCTTGGTTTCATGTTCTATGCTGGCAACATCAGTAACAAAGTTATCTGCCTCTTGAACCTTTTATGGTCCTATTTATTTCATGACTATCATCAATCTTTGGCCTAGATGCCACAATTAATTAGTTTATGAGGCAGTGACTTCTGTGGCAACTAATTTCTTCCATTAATACTGACAGTTGTTGTACTTGAACTGCCAGTGTTATTGTTGGGCCTGCTAGCTGTGTACTAATATACTTTTTACCTATTTTCCCCCTTGCCAGACATGAGAAAGCCAAAGCCAAAGCTGGCTTCTGAAATTGCTAAGCAACTTTGAAGATTCCATCAAGTGGAAATTGCAGGTTTTAAAGAACCTCAACTATGGGTTGATCTCGTTAAGTTCTTTGAGAAAGGTTTGAGAACTGACTTCTTTTACATATTTCCATAAAAAAAATGAAAATGGACAGTCTTCTGGTTGCAGTGGCTCCGATATTTGTCTTCTTTGTTTTGTTTATCTTCAACTTTTGGCTTTTTGGAGAGCATATCTTGTCTGGAGTTTTGATTGCTTATGTCTGCTTTTGCCAATTGTCATTAGCAACGTTGGGGCTGGGCTCATTTAGTTTCTCTTAAGATTATTACCTAGCAGCATTCGAAGAATATGAATATCTAACCCATGAAGCCTTCCTTTGCAGCATGTTCTCTCCAGTTTGAAGATACTGATAAACAGAAGATATACGAGACAATTTCGTTCAAGGAAGTGCATAGGGAAGCTACACAGCTTAAGGTAAGATCTCTTTTTATGGTTGGTTGATTCATCTGTTGCTGACGAAGGGAAGGTGCTATTTATCTCTGATTATATGTTTTGATTCAACCTCAACAAGTTTATCTGTTTATGAGTGTCTCTTGATGATGGACCAGGAATTGACTGGCCTTCTCAATGCTCCAGTGGTGTTTGCTCACAATGATTTACTTTCTCAGAATTTGATGCTAAATGATGAACAAGGTGTGCCCGAGCTTACAATTTTGAGTTTGTTCACTCTTCCAGCCTGGCATCTTTCTTCTCGTCCTGTTCATACTCAAAGAAGGTCCATATGTGATATTCATGTTTAGGTTGTATCTATTTGCAGTAGACACAATTTGCATTCTATATGTGCTGAACTCTCTCCCCTATCTATCTCATGACATGCGTAGGCTGATGTTGGTGGCACATGCACATGCACATGCACACTTTTGCACTCATAGTTCAAGATGAGTCCAGTGTCCTTATCCTAGCATATTTCCATATTGTTAATATTGGGTTTAGTTTTTGCTCTTTGTACAATCAATAGATAAGCATATTATCAGTAGCAACAAGTGAACCAACACTGCTGGTTAGGCATAACATAAACGATATCTACAAACTATAGCATAATGGTTCTTAAAGATAGAACATTATGGGGTGGTAGATATGACAATGTCAAGTTGTAAACGGGAATCTTGGTTGGCATTGTCATGGATGTCAATATGGGTGCAGTGCAATGTCTTTATCCAAAGAAATTTCCAGTTGTTGATATTGGGTTTGATTGTGTCACTCTAGAGAGAATATATGTAATGAAAACTGAACCAACACTGCTGGTTAGACATATGAAGGAATAAGAATATCTGTAAACTATTGCATAGTAGTTCTTAAAAAACAAAACACCAATGCATGAAGAATTGAGAATATTCCAATGCCAGTACGAGATCTAGTGGGTATTTAGGCTGTTAGCAATGTGTAAATCACTAAATCCTGCAAAAATGTAATAATAGGTTTTACCAGATTTTTCTTAAAGATAAGGCCTATGGATCAACATAAGTATGTGTAATATGCCTCGGATATGTTTGCCACATTCTTCAGAGCATGCAAGAATCGAAGGGGGAGAAAAAAAATGAAGAGAAAGAAATTCATCCATGGGTGGGCATTTTCATATCTTATTACTTGAAACTGCATCAGTTGTGCACTAGTCAGCATCCAAGAAATAGTCTATTTTTATCTAATACGAAATACACCCTCAAAACAAGTGCAAAGTAATGTGTGGTATGGCACACATTCAAGGATGTACTATTTGACCATACCTTTATCCCCGTAAGAAGTTTATTATTAATGTTATTGCTTACCAGAAAGTTAGAAACACTGGGTTGTCACCATGATAAACAAATAGGAACAGGACGTCTCACGAAACCAGTAACCTAAGACGGAAGAATGTGGTATTGAGTTGGTGCCTAACTATTGGATGGAACTTAAGAATATTGTTTCAATTTTTGTGTGCTGACTTAATTATTAGTGTTGTTGATGTGCAGAAAAGCCCTACATCATAGACTTTGAGTACGGGTCTTACAACTACAGAGGGTTTGACATCGGAAATTACTTCAATGAATATGCAGGCTATGACTGTGACTATAGCTTGTATGTTTCTTCTATATTTTGTGCACTGCGATTCTCCATGTTTTCTTGTGCAACAATGATGAATTCTTGAATAGATTGGCGCTTACCTACTGATTATCGAATGTGGCGTCAATGCACAGGTATCCCAGTAAAGATGAACAATGTCAAATTTTCAGTCATTACTTGCAACCTGAAAAACCATACGAGATAAGGGTATCTCACTATCTCTTAGTTATTTTTACATGTTTTCTTTGTTGTGCGTGTTCTGTTAGAATATTCTTTATTATATTAGAAAGGTCTTAGAACCATAGTAACTTTGTTATCAGAAAGCGTGCAGATAACTTCGTGTTTGTGATTTAAGACTTCAAACTATGAAACACAAATTGAATATTGCTATAAATCGATCTTGTTTACGTATTTTCCTTTAAAGAGTCTTTCGTACTTACGGATATAGTTAGATTTTATAACTTGTTGTATTTTATGTTTCGAATTTGAAAAATCTATACACTAAAGCTCCTTCTATTAACAACAGGTATCAGAAAACGATCTTGAAGCTCTCTATGTGGAGGCAAATACATTCATGTTAGCTTCACATATATTTTGGCCATTATGGGCGATAATCCAGGTATCTTCATTCCCCAACTATGCCTGTTCTTCTCATTCCCCAGAAACCATGACATTCTTCTTGAGTCATTTTTCCCCCTTCTAATAATAGGCAAGGATGTCTCCGATCGATTTCGATTATATCGAGTATTTCTTCTCACGGTACAATGAATACAAGAAGCAGAAGGAGATTCCCTTGCAAAATCTCACTGAAGAGCATAAGATTCTTAGCGTTTCCCATGAGTAGTCGACTTCTATACGTCATAGCTTTATATGTCGAGCATTTCGATTCCTTCTGTGCTAGTGATCTTGTATAATATATTCTCTCTGTGACTTGTAAGGTTTAACAGATTGGAAGAATAGAGCAATTTCAGGTGACCATACTAGATATATCCTTCCGTCTTTCATGATCACTTCGGATTTCACCGCAGTTAACAGATTGGATCAAAGGTGTTTTGTTAGCTGGTAATCGACTCCACGTTGCATATTGAAACAGAAAACACCATTAATACCACTTCGTAAATAAACGACCCCGTCAATTTCAATGGCACACTCCATCCTGAACTTGTTTTCCAGGACTCGGATCCTGAAAGTGAATGATACTGTAATAAGAATGCAATGTTGAACGTCCGAATGTAGAACTGCAAAAATGTTGGATTAGAGAAATCCTTCGACTTAAAGTTGCTTTTCATCATAAGATCCCATCAGCTGTTGAATTCCACTCATCCTTGGATTATAAGATCCTTTCCGATCATGAACTTCCATTTTTTCTAGTGACCGACTCCAAATCTATACTTTTTTCCTTTACGTAAAAGAAATGGAATAATGCATATGCAAAGGAAAGAAGAGCAACAATGAAATGTGTAAACAAATCTTACATGTACAACCCAATATGGAATCATGCTTGGCATAAAATAGAAAAGCAAAGATGAACAAAAATCAGAAGTTCACTCGCTGTATGTGATTGGATTCTAATGAGAAATATACTCAAATTGTCCCATCCCCACTCATCACATGCTCATATGAACAAGTTCAATACAAGAGGACATTTTTCTATGCTTGTACCTCTCTATGACATAGCCTCGAATCTTTTACGAAAATTCACCTCATGAAGGTATAATGCTTATTCTCACTTAAAGGAGACAAAACTCGTACAATATATTAATATAAGAATTAATCGTATATAAAAGCTTATTTCCTTGAGTCGTTTTCAAAATCTGAAATCCACATTCTTCATATTAAACTAGATATGATGGATCGTCTATAATTGGATTCAAGATTTTTGAAGATCTATTTTAAAAAAGACAATAGTAGAGTCGAAATTGGATTCAAGATTCTATGCTTGAAAAAAGGTTAAAACACTCCCATAATTCTAACATAATTGACAACTTATTTAAAACATATGACGTCTCATTTTTAAAATAAATGAAACACAGAAAAGATATTAGTAACAATAATTATAATAAATAATGATAATGTATAAAAGAAACAGGTAAATAAACTGTCAACCCATCACTGTTTTTTCAATACATGTACATATTTATATACACGTATGCAACATCGTTCATCGGCACACCAACGGGGAGAAACTGTCAAGAGAAGCTAAGGCAGAATCCTAAAAAAATAAACACTTCCCAGCCAATGCCTGATGCTTCCAACTATCTGTTTAGATTCTATCTTCATGTATGTCAGTACTGTGTTTTTGTACCGGAATGCTTAGTCTACACGGAAAGAATCGTTTTGTGGCCTCAATGTCTCGATCATGATATGAGGGTATAGAACTAGGCCAGCCATAACGAGTGTGGACTATACGAGAAAAAGAAAGGAACATTAAACTGTTTCCAAAGGTCTTACATCGGTAAAGTGAAAACAACAAAATAAATGCCATGAACTGTACCATAAGAGGAAGGGTCAAGAAACCCCAAATAGGCCACAACGCAAAGCAAAGCCTGTGTGAAAAAAAGGTTAGAAAAATTTGAATGAATTCATAGATGCAACAATGAATCAATGAAGAAATAACATGACCGTTTTCCTTGCAAGCAAAACGAGACAAGTCCGAGCAAGGTAAGAAATGGCAAAGCAATGATGCATAAGAATTCCCACTTTTCGTCGAACCTTCTTACACTCCACAATAACATACTTGTATAAAAGAAGAGGGCAACATCCAATCCAATTCCAATTAAGCCAAGGTACAAAGGCATTCTGCACAGGAATTAAATGACATGATTATCTTTTATATAAGCTGAATCACACCCATGAACAGTATCTCGATATGGAGCAACGAAAAACGGAAAATGAAGCAAATGTTGCACCTCATAACTAAAAGCAGTATTAGGGCTATTCAAAAGTTAAACTAATCAATTAGTGAATGAATAATGAAAATATTTTTATAAAAAATTTACAGGAAAAAAATAAAAGTTTCACTGATATATTACAGAGGCAATTTATCCAATGCGCGTTAGATAAATTGGAAGGACCCTCAAAACAGTCAGGTTTGATTCACCGCCACAGCAGATATCTGGAAAAATCAAGAGCACGGAACAGGCCTCGGGAGAAACCACAATGTCATCACACAAATTCTCAAGACATAGATAATTTAAGGTTTGTTATTCAAAAGTATAACATGAAATATATACCAGAGTCAACCAATATACAAACTTTCCAATTTTACATAAAAGTTCCAGGAAAAAGAAAGAATAAATGGAAAACTATTCTAATTCAAACAGGGAAAAAATACTACCAGTAAATTTTCCACTGGCAATAACATCATACAAGAAATCATACGGAAAAGTAAACTGCATTTCTTGCAAAAAGTTCAATATTTTTAGATCCCATTTCCTAACAAAGCCCATCAACACCAATACACCATTACATAAGAAAACGATCAGTATCACGGTATCACTTACTTGATAGTACAACTGAATGAGGACTCAGCCGTAACTTTTACAAGGCTATTGACACCACTCAGGACAACTGCATTTTAAATGCAAAGGTTCTCACAGGTAGACTGTTGGTTACTTTAAAGGATGAACTTCACTTTTCTAGCAAGTAACAATTGTTCAACATGTCCATAATCCGGCTAACATGATGTCAATGCTATGTAAAGGTACACAAAATGCATGATTCCTAGTGATTTCAATGAACTTACATTTGGATATCTAATCTCAACAGTTAAAAAGCTATTTATATCATAATCTATATTCCGATCCTGCATCATAAAAGATTGTGCAGTATGATACAAGCAGCACAACTTACAAAGTGATGCTAATAAAATTCAACTGAGCAGAACATGAAAACTAGCTAAATAAAACATATTTGCCACAAGTGTCTGGTATCATATCCATTATGAAGTCCCTGGTTAGAAGTGCCTTACCACATCAAAGAAAAGCACATGGGTTATAACAAATAACAGAAAAACAAGCACACACAATGAACATATGGTGTTTCGATATCAACAATTCATCATATAATGTCAAACAAAAATCATCATCCAGAAGACATAGCTAAGAGTGTTAATATATAATAACGTTAACACATAAAATCACTCTGAATCATGCATTTTATGTACCTTTACATAGCCCTGACATCATGTTAGCCGGATTAGACATAGGAACAAAGTGCAAAGCATCAATTAAGATGGATACTTGAGCTCTGCAACAGCAAATTTAGTTCTACTTTTAAGTCCACCGATTTAGTGATTCAATCAGTTCTCCCATTTCAGCTAAAATATCAAATGAATCCAGAGAACTTAAACTTTTGAACCAACTGAAGCGACAATCAGAGGAACCCTTAATTGTTGTTTTATATTTAACTAATTTAACTGAATTTAATTCTAGTTTTAAATAGCTCCAGGAACTTTGACATTGAAGCAACCAAAACAAAAATAACAATGACCCTTGTGAAAGGGCATTGTAAGTTTTCAGAAGTCATAGAACAGGAAATTAGCATTTATCCAACAGCCAAATAACAACATTCAAGCATCACGAGCACTTAACTGACACCAATATCTCTTACAAATCACACTACAAATACAATATATGACTGCTCTAAGCCACACCAAGTCAAAATTGGATCCACTCAGTTACCTTCTGATTCGCTCATCGTGCCACAACAGATATATCAAATTGGAGTGTCTTTCACCAAAGTAGATTATGAAGATTGCTGAAGCAATCCAGAGCACATTCTCCAGAATCTCAGTCCAAGTTCTATTTCTCAGAGTTTCCGGTGACAGAGGCTGTAACCTAGAACATGCATCATCTTCAAGGTCCTCATTGCCTGATCCATATCCTTGACTATGCCTTTGCCTCATATATCCACCAGCAACTGGTGTCCCACCAGACATTTTTAATCCTTCTCACAAGATTAATCCCCCAAAAATGAAAAAAAAAAAACCATTTAAAGAACTAAAAAAAAACACTTCCTGGAACCGAAGTCCATAAAGAATCTAGTAAACTTCAACCATTAAACCTTACCCCAATGACCAAATCGAAACCCCTTCTTTGAATAAGAAATCTAAGGAATTGGAATCGAAAATTGAAGAAGATTCAAATAAAAATGAAACCCACAGTAGAAATGAAATTGGTGAAGGAACCCAGACGGAAAGTTCCAACTTTTATTGTCTAAAAAAATTCAATAGAAAATCTTGAAAAAGAAGAAGAGTGAGTATTAGAACAAACCCATCAAAAGCACCACAAAATCTCACAAAACCAAAATACAGCTTCAGCTTCAGCTTCCCTCGATAACCACGTTATACTTCTCCTCCATATTATAGTCATCAATATCAGGAACAAAGAAAATGGCGTAATAAATGATATTAAACAAGGATAGTTCAGTCTTTTGGTATTTTCAGTTCGAGCTAGAGAAGAATTTGTTGATAAAATGAGCCGTTTTGCTTTTCTGGGCGACGACGGACGTTAACTGATTCTTTTCTTCTACTTAAAATGACACAATGTGTTGTGTAGGGTTGTAAACGAGTCGAGTCGAGTCGAGTCGAGTTTGAGTATTGTTGAGCTCGACTCGAACTCAAAAACTTTATAGGCAGGCTCGACTCGACTCGAAAACTCGCGAGTTAAAAATTATCAAGCTCAACTTGAACTCGAAATATAATATTGAAACTCGACTCGAATTCGAAAAGACTCAAACTCAAAAAAATTTCAGGAGCTCGATTCGAGCTCGAGCTCGAGACTCGAGCTCGATTTTGAGCTCTATTCAAGCTCGATTTTGAGCTCGATTTAAGCTCGGACTCAAACTCGAATTTTAACCTACAAAATTTTTATATAACATTTAAATTATATAAATAATTTTTCCTTTAATCAACCATCACCAATATATTATAATATGAATGTATGAACTATAAAAAATCTAAAAAAATAAAAATACAATTACAAGAAATTTAGGATAATTAATATAAGATTTGAAGTTTTCTAAAATCATCCTCGACTTGCTTTCTGAAATAGGAGTTCAGTTCGGAAAACTGTGTCCAGACAAAGTGTACACGATCGTTCTTGACCTAGCAGAACACATAATATAAGCTGATAAGCCAGACGGGATAGATAAAGGTATACCAGAAAAGCAATAAGCCTTACCTCTTTTCTAGCCTTTAAAAGTGCTTCATCATCAGAGCAAACCGGGATTGCATGGGATGACTCGGAAGCATATCGCTTGACTATGGAAATATCATCAATGAAAGAGGAGGTCTTGCCACACTCACCCAAAAGAGTAAGGAGCTTTCTGCGCATAAAGAATGGTGGCGAACCAAAATCAGGTCCTAACACAAGAAGCAAAGACATTACAAGAAATTATATGCAAGTTTATACATCAAGACAAAAAAATAACCATATGATGAACCTTCCGCTATAAGTTATATTTGAGTTCTTGATGTAAAAGAACATAGTGTACATATTCCTAGATGCTAAATACCTTGACTCCCGTAAAATATCAAATTTTATCTCGAGATGTTGAAATGTGTGAATGCATAGAAAATAATTACTTGCCATTTCTAATCTTTAACAGAGACAAATCCATAGCAGCTCTTGCATCTTCGATGCTATCATGTCCGGTCTGAAGATGAGAAGCAACTATCAATAATTTATATATGAAATAACTTTTAATGAAACATGATATTACACTATTGCAGTAAATTACTGATTAGTGATGGTCAATGAAGGACAATGAATGAAGAGTCGAAGTAACTCCACTCAACATCTCATATGTTATTCCACTAAACCTGCGTGACCAATATAGAAAATTATGAAGAGGCCTATCGAAAGGAGATAATAAAAAGGGTGTGTGTGTAGAGAGAGAGGGAGAAAGATCTCCGAGTTGGGACAGAAGATATCAAATCTTCTGATCCAAATTCGGGCATAATTTGAAACATGAGAAAATTTTACACAAAAAATAACCAGCATACTCTTGACCAACTAATATTTATACCAATAACATGGCACTAAGAGATTGTAGATAAAAGAAACATAATCTTCATGCATCTGGAAAAATAAAATGTGCAAATTAAAATGCCTTCATCAGTATCCAATTAAAGCTTCTCATCAAGTCTGCAATTCAAGAACAAAATATATTAAGACCCAACTTCAACAGTTAAAATAACATTTACCTTGTGTTATAATCAGTGATGGGGTTTGATGGTTTAACCAATTTGTCTAGTACAACCTGTCAACAAAACAATCATTGCAGCTTCAGCCAATTTATCAAGTAAAAGAGTTGTAACATTTACATGGTGCGGCAACAAGAAGATGGTTCGCTTAAACGTTTTGAATCTAAACCAAGTCAAAGGCATTAAGGAGATAGCTTAAACGTTTACCTTAGTTGTAGTTCATCCCGCTTTGCCTCCTAGCCGTTCGAGCCTCACTGTCAAAATAAGGGGTTTGTTAGTCAAAAATAAGTTCATTCTAAAAAATCTCAATTTTGCAATTCAAAAAATAATATGTTAAACTTTTACATTTTTAATAATATTATTAATAATATTAGCATTTATATGTTGTTTTTTAAATATAAGATAATATCTTCATGTACTTGAGGTTCATACTCGAGTTCAAATTCAAGCTTCTTTATCAAGTTAAATTTGAAATTATTTTGAGTTCGAAGTTCTATAAACTCGAGTCGATTTTAAATCAAGCTTAAAAGTTCAAGTTTTCGAATTTTCAAGCCATATCAAACATCCACATTCAGACAATTGTTTTAACTCTAAATGCAAAAACTGATGTCTCAAAAATTTGTAAATACCCACAACGAGCAAAATTCATCGTTTCTATTTTTGCACCCAAAAGGAAAGTTAAAATAAACAGAGACTTACTCCCACAGTTTACATGAGCTTTGCCTTTGAAAAATCCATCTCATGATGCTGCAAAAATGCCAACAAAAAACATTGAGCAAATTTTATAAGCTAAAGCTCCATCCATATAAGGATTAGTAAAGTGGGTTGGATAAACATGTTTCGGAAGAGAATAACTACCTCAGACATAAATTTCTTTAGAATTTCCTGCTTTTGAAGTTCATCATTGGTTGGAAGGCCCATGGACTTCTGTCTTTGGTCGAACTGCAACAAAGAACACAATTTGTGATGAGTACAAACTACAATTTATGATGGATCTAAAATGTAAACAGCCAAAATCAAAATATCGTACGAAAAGAAAAACTAATTATCATCATCTTATCTACAGTTTGTCGTGTTTCGGGATCCAAGTCAGATATCTTGATGTTCTTTGGTTTGACTTTCTGAGTGTCTATTTCAGGATATAATCTCAGTTATCAGAGAGAATAGAAAAATAAAGGAATATAACCCTAGAGAGTCTATCAAATCAAAACCATATAACCTATCAGCCACCCAAAACAACGAGTATCAACCAGAATAGAAAAAAAACATTTGAGCAACAAAAATCATCAGTGGCCAGAGAACCAATAGGTAAAACCTTACCTTCCCCATCGATAGGAGTTTGCCTTTGTCGCCCGGAGTCAAAGTTTCCTTGAGACACCAAGGGTAATCTCTTTTGGCCTTGGATCTATGGTTGTTCTAGGGGTTTGGGGCTTGTGAGGTGATGCGAATTTGACTATCGTAATGCGAATTTGACTATCGCAACGAGAGAATTGCAATGCGATTTTCATTTCGCATTGCGATTCTTTCGTTGCGATAGTCAAATTCGCATTGCGATAGTCATTTTCACATTGCGATAGTCATTTTCGCGTTGCGATTTTGTTGTTGCAATTTTCATTTCGCATTGCGATTCTCTCGTTGCGATAGTCATTTTCGCGTTGCGATAGTTATTTTCGTGTTGCGATAGTCATTTTCGCAATGCGATAGTAAACTATTCTTCTTCTGTAAATTGAAACTTGAATGGATTGCATTACTTCAACCAAAAGACAACCAAAAACAAATACTAACTTCACAGGGTTAAAGAATAAATAGTTAAACAATATTGGCATCAACCGAATGAATTTACTAAGCAATCTAAGTGATATTACGAGTAAATTTATCATCAAGTTAAATATGAAAAATATTAAACTTACCTCGTTGCATAGAGTATGAACCTCGTTCTACAACGATGCTATAATCTCACGTAGAGCTGCTACCTCACCACGTAAAGTAGACACCTCAACACGCCATGCACCATTGTCATCGCGTAAAGTACCGACCTCCTCACGCAAGGCATTGACCTCATTACGTAACTCCCCTAACTCATCCCGTGGAGGTGGAGAACAGGGAGATAAACGTCGTGACATCTTTGCCGGTCGCCTATCATGAGGTAATGGTGGAAAAGAGGCTCGATGATGTGACAGAATAGGTGATGACTCTCGTTGTGGAGGTGTATATTCGGGTCGATCAGGTGATGACTCTGGGTGAGGTGATGGCTCTCGAAGTGGTGGCTGCTCATCATCCGTGCCATCAAAAAAACGCTTACTAGCTTGCCACCAATCAGTGGCAAGCTCAGCTTCCGTGGGTGTCAGCCTCTGTAATGGAGTGTTGGCCTCCTAACAATATAAAAGCTCAAACAAAGTTAAACGTGTACTAGTAATAACTTGTTTATAAACATATGGTAGTATTTGTGTTAACTTACATTATTTATTGTAGTATACTGTAGTAAATCTTCCCATTGCTGCAAGGACCGTTTCCTTTTCCAGGAAATAGCCCTAGAAATATCATTAGAAGTTTTTAATGCATATGTCTGCATGGCGGGAAAGGCCTCAAATATCCAAATCTACAAATAATATAATAACAAACATTAGTAATTGTTAAAGAATTAATTATAATTTTGGAAACATTATATAAAAATTATTACCTTAAAGGCCCAAATAAAGCCTGACAAAGTGTATTTGGAACCATCGCCACACAAACTTTTTCGATCATCAAAGGTAGACGACAACTTATTCCATGTAGCTTTCCATATATACGAACCCCACGGAAACAGGTTCCATCCATTTAGGTCCTCTACCAATTTAATTAGATCATTAGGAATAGGTTGTCGGGCCTCTCTGCCTAAAAAGCCGGCTTGTAAAAGTATTAGAAGGCATACTCGGACAACATCGACGTCATCCATCCGAGTAAAACCATATTTCTTATTCAATAATCTCGTCAAGTCTTCCACGTGTAAATTCGACTTCTCCGTTGACAGCTCAGGAAAAACCCGGGAAAACCATGATAGGCGGGTAATATGTCTAGTGCACCGATCTACATCATCGTGTCCGAAGCGTAGACCGATGATTAAGCAAAACTCCTCCCGCCCAAAACACGTATACACCGGTGGAAAATCAAACCATATCTCTTCATCACGACGTTGTATAGTCTCTGGTAGATCGCCAGTCATGGTTTGAAGAAACAGATGGGTCAACATAGCATCTCCACCCGGATGTTGTACTTTCAGCCATGGCCCGAAGCAAGTATCCTCAAATATATTTCTTTGTGCAGGTGAAAGCTTCGACGCAATTGTTTTGGCCAGGATTACTTTATTTCTTAAGGTCAATTGAGCCGAATAAAAGTTATGCAAAAACAATAAACATACCAATTTAGATATACCAAAAACTACACTGTGAAGATATAACAAGAACAATAAACATAAAGAGTAGTAGTTTATTCTTCAAACTTAAATTTGCAACACTGTGAATTTAGTATTTGTCTTTGTTTTTTGGTTGAAGTAATGCAATTCATTCAAGTTTCAATTTGTAGAAGAAGAATAGTTTCTGAAACTTTAAATCGCAACACGAAAATGAAAATCGCAACACGAAAATGACTATCGCAACGCGAATTTGACTATCGCAACGCAAGAATCGCAACGCGAAATGAAAATCGCAGCGACAGAATCGCATTGCGATAGTCATTCTCGGTTTCAAATACTAAAATTGAAAGAAACTTGAATGGATTGCATTACTTCAACCAAAAGACAAAACATAGACAAATACTAACTTCAGAGGGTTAAAGACTAAACAGTTTAGCAGTATTGGCAGCAATCGAATGAATATAATAAGCAATCTAAGTGAAATGGTTAATCTATTATTGAAAACACCAGTAAACTTATCATCAATTTCAATATGAAAAACCTAATAATAATGCAAAATTTTCAAAATAAAAATAATTAAAAAAACTAACCCTCGGTGGTTGATTTGGTTGATTTTCCATTTCTGACCGTGAATGATTTCGCCGGAGATGGAGACTGATATCGTCGGAGATGGGGACTGATTTCGTCGGAGATGGGGACGGATGTCGCCTTAGAGAGTGAGAGATGGAGATGAGACTGACTTGTGATTTAGGGTTTTAGGTTATGAGTTGCGATTACGGGATATACTGTGGACGGTTCAGTGTTCCGATATATTAATATATTCGTGTTTGGAATTTGAAAAAAAAATACGCGTTGCATACGAATGGCGCTATGTAAATCGCATTGCGATAGTCAGATTCGCGTTATGATTTACATATTCGCATTGCGATTTACGTATTCGCATTGCGATTTACGTATTCGCATTGCGATTTACGTATTCGCATTGCGATTTATGTATTTGCATTGCGAATTAGGAAAATCGCAACGCGAATTTGGAGAATCGCAATGCGATAGTCAGAATCGCGTTGCGAATCTGGAAACTGATTTGCGATACCGGAGATCGCGTTGCGAATTATCGATCGCATTGCGATTTACGTATTCGCATTGCGATTTACGTATTCGCATTGCGATTTACGTATTCACATTGCGATTTTAGTATTCGCATTGCGATTTAGGAAAATCGCAACGCGAATTTGGAGAATCGCAATGCGATAGTAAGAATCGCGTTGCGAATCTGGAAACTGATTTGCGATACCGGAGATCGCGTTGCGAATTATCGATCGCATTACGATTTAGTTGGTCATTTTGACAAATCCAAAAAAAATTAGTTAAAATCGTATATTATAATGCATTTTTGGTCACTGAGGTTATTTTCTCTTTTTATAATTGTTTTCCTGTTAATCATGAGTAATAAATCGACAAAAAAATTATATTTTCTTCATTCAAATATTTGAAAGGCCGTGAAGGGAAATTAAATTCTTATTTATTATGTTGTTCTCAAAATCAATCAATACCGTATCATTATACGATGGAAAACCCTAACACAAGGAATATCGAGAACGCAAAACAACTCTTCGGTGCAGAAGGTGGACGACCGCCGGATGAGAACCCACAAGGAGGGTCTCGCTAGGAACGACATGACGCTAGCCGATTCAATATGGGTCCCCGGAATATCCCATCAAGGTTTGAAGGAAAGCGAACCAACGGAGCACGTAGACCTCAAGGAAGTTCCAATATCAAGAGATGACCA